GAGACCTCGGTGTACTCTCATGTTACGATCTAAAGTCCATGGATAACACGAATAGGCTTTACCAAAACAGCCTTCGTATGCTTTGGGCGCTCAGGCGCAACTTCAGCACTTGGTCCGAAGAGATTGCCACTCGCCTCTTCGTCACAATAATACGACCAATGCTAGAGTATAGCTCTCTCGCGTATCGTCCTATCACCCGGGGCGAGGTAGAAAAGATTGAGCAAGTGTAGCATGTAGCCACTAGGCTGATTCCCAATTTACGAGGTGTGCCGTACGAAGACCGGTGTAAGAAACTAGGATTTTACACCCTAGGTTATCGTTGACTGAGGGTTGATCTCATCATGACACACCGGATAGTACATCTGGATGATTACTCCATGTTGAGACCGCTGCGAGTTGACCTCATCATGACGCACCAGATATTATATCTGCGAGATTACCACTGCTTCATCTGCGCACACCAAGCAGCACACGAAGACACCGGTACAAGCTTGTCGTACAGAATTTAAAGCGGGTCGCTCACCAACTCTGTTTCGGACGGAGAGTGGTGAATGTATGGAACGACCTGCCGCAGCACTTATTTGAGTCAAAGTCGGTGTCGAAATTCAACGAATTCCTTACAACCACTTTGCCGATATCAAATATATCGAGCTCACCCCAACGGGTCTTTGTCCATGAGTGACAGGTGCAGCTACATAGAGATACTTCTTGCTCTCCCAACCAGTAATCAGTAATCGTCATCTCATCCTCGATCCCAAGCGCGCTGATACAACTTCCCAGTTAGTTGAATTTCTGAATGACTTCTAGCTGATCCCCACCAAGGGTTAGCGCAAGAGGCGATCCCTGCCAATCTTGGAGGAAAGCTTTGCACTTCTATGGTGCAAAGCCAAGCCCGAAGCGGCTGACAGCCAGTGCTAATCTGTCCAGTGCAGCTTGGCACGTCTGGGAGCTGTCACAGATGAGCGCAATATCGTCTGCTTACAAGTCAAGAAGTCGTTCTCTTGGAAGTAGCTCCAAACCTAGGTTATGTCCTGTGAATGCAATCTCCATGAATTCGTCAATAGCGAAGTTGAAGAGGAAAGTTGACGGCGAGCATCCTTGTCTCACACTGCTGGAAATACTGAAGGGCGGTGACAACTTTCCGTAAGCCCTCACTTTGCCTTTACTATGCGCGTATAGTGCGCGAATAATATTTACATATTTCTCAGACACACTTTTCCTGAGTAGACAGCCTCAAAGGGCACATCGATCAACCGAATCGAAGGCACCGTTGATGTCGCGGAACACGACAACCGTGGACCGCCAATATGTGTGACGGTGCACCAACAAGTGACGCAAAGTGAATGTGTAGTCGATGCACCCCCTGACGATGACGCGACCCGGCTTGCTGCTCCCGAATCTGACTTCCACGAGCATGTCAGTCTGTGAAGAATGACAGAAGCAAGTAATTTGGAGGCGATGGGGATCAGGCTGATTCCTTTATGGTTTCCATATTCCGAACTCCAGCCTCCTTTAAAGATGGGAACAATAACGGTGCGGCTCCAGTCGTTTGGGACAGTTTCCTGCTTCCACAGTTTCACTGGTGATTGGTGTAAATCAACAGCAAGAGCAGGGCTCCCGAATTTGAAGTGGGCTGGATGAGGATCATTCGGTCCCGCGGCTTTGTTCAACTTCAACAGTCAGATCTCACGTTCGACTTCTGGGCGAGAGAGCGGATCCAAAGGGACAGCTCACGGAGCAGGGCGATCACTGGCCGGTGAGGAATCTAAAATTTCTGGCCGAATAAATTGCTTTTCAAAATGATCAGCCCACTCTCCGAACTTTTGACAAGTTGTGAATTGGCTGTCCACTCGTCGTAAATTGTTCCACTAACACCAGGTCTCCTGCTGCCCGTTTCCCGTATCATACGGGATAACTTTCGACCGTTACCAAGGGCAGTGACCACTTCCATCTCTGACGCATGAATAGACCACCGGGATTCTCGGTCTCTCTTCAGGCTAGCACGGAGTTTTGCCCGGAGAACTTTGCGAGTTTCATTGTGTTCGTTTCCAGCCGGAATGTGCCGGCGAGCATTGATAAATTCCAGAGACTGCGAAGAGACCCAATGTCCATGTTGGCTATTAGACTTACCACATAAGGATTTATCTGCTGCTAGTAAGGTCTGGCGAACATGCGACCGGTGACCTTCAACTATCTCCAGTGAGCGCTTATTCAACCCGCATGTCAGCGTGTTTCGATACGCATTCAGAACGGCTGGCTTTGTCAGTTGGTTGGTGTCAATGCATTCATAGCGTCGTCGTGGGCGTCCGCAAAACGCATCCGCATGTCAGCACATACAAGTGAGTGATCGGTGTCCACACATGTGCTCCACATCGAGCGACAGTTCTGGACGCAGCCTCTCCAGCGGTAACCGATTACAATGTGGTCGGTTTGCGTCCAGGGCTGGTTCAAGGTTGGTGGGTGCCAAGTCACGCTCCGGCGGGTGCTGCCGGACGTTTGTGCTTGCAATAAATAAACGGTCCTCTCCACACAAATGATGTAACCGCTCGCCATTATCATTACGGGAGCCTACACCATGGCCGCCCAGATACACTTCATCAGTGTATAATTTTCCAGCTTGAGCGTTCAGATCCCCTGCCAGCACAACAGTGTCTGTGCTTCTTCTGTGGCGAAGGCGCTCCGTCAGTTGGCGGTAGAAGTCGTTTTTTACGGAATCATCGCTAGAGTTTGTGGGCGCATAGGCAGCGATGACGAATAGACACCTATTAGTCCCGCGCGACTTCGAAACTTTGAACGTGCCAGCCAGTCGGACAATACACATCCGGCTACTGGTTGGAATCCAATCAACCATAGTAGCTTCAGCCCGGGGACTCAGGGCAATGCCATCATCAGCCTGGCCGGTGCTCGAAGCTGCATCGTCACCGGATAAGCACGATGAGCAAATAGTGCTGGTGTCACCTGAAGGGGATCACAGAATAAGCACAGAGCTCGAGTCTTGCGGTCGGGTCTCCGCTAAGCAGCAGATATCGATGGAGATTGTCTCTAATGTTCGGGCAAGTGCTGCCTGTTGGCTGATCTGTAGCAATATGCGTACATTGAGCCATGGCGATCTGAAGGAGGATCGAGGGCTCCAAATGGAAGCCCATGAACTGGAGTGGACCGCTTGGTTGGACTTGAGCCTGTCGACAGGGCAGTAGTGACGCTCCGCGTTTAAATTTGAGTTGAAACTAGAAGATAGACGCCTAGTAAAGCATGTTGGGGGAGGGCCGAGAATCGGGGGCGGGAAGGGTTGATTGCGAATTTGGGGATAAAAGCGAAGTTGGAGCAGGACGATAAGGGTGCAAAAGCGTAAGAAGACGGTAAGGCTTGAGCAGTAGCATCCAAACTCCTATCCACTCTGCTCGATGCAGCAGGTAGGGCACCGTTGATTATCCTCTGCGACGGCCAGAGCATCAAAAAGTAGTTTGAAGAGAAATTCATTGTATTGCATGGGCAGGACACTGTCAGATTGCCCAGGCCTGAAAAGGAGAACGATTACGGTTCTCAACCAAAGCCTTTGGTTCAAAAACCTGATCGCAAGACAGCGGTTTTGGCGTTGGGCTACAAGGAGTCCGTTATAAGGAATAAGGAGCCACCTACATTCCAACCCCCAACCTGGAGGACCAGGAGGCTGAATTTGTCTGGCCTCTAACCATTGACCAATCTGGTATGAGTGGCTTTGAAAATGCAAAAGGCGCCACCCAGTATGACTCAATGGATCTCTGAGACGCGCAAACCATCACACCATGGTAAGGTCCAGCCTCATTACGATGGAACACAACTGGGAAGAGAACCTTGGTTAATTTGATCACTCGGGCCGTAACCGTTGAAGCGGATGTCTATTGGGTGTTACGAGCCCGAAAACACCGCATTCTATGGCCGGGTCCAAACTTATTTGATGTTATGTGGTAGAGGTAGAAGGCCTCGAACCTCCGGGGACTTTGGGATATTAGCCGAAATCTCTACGTCTAAGCCACAGACTCACGGCGGGCAGATTGTCGCAACGGCTAATGGTTCATTGGATGAGTCGTTTTGAATCACTCGTTGTGTGTATAGATTCCGAAGCTTAATCTCAATACGGAACTGCGATTCGCATTACAATGACTCTTGGGCACCTCGATCACTAGAACGTAACTACTGATGCACATGGCTCTTGGGTGTTGCGCAACCGAAAACGCCGCACTCCGTGACCGGTTTCGAGCTTATTTGATGTCGTTAGGATTATTGTTTTAGATTTATGTTCTATGATGCTGCATTAGAGTGTTTTTCAAAGTCAGACTGTCTGTTCGCTATGTTGCCTTCCGTATATTCCTTGACCCCCTACGTTAACTTATACCATTCACCTCTGTCGCACCCAATTGGGTAAAACCTCAGTCTGACCCACTGATAATATGATGAAAGGGAGTGCCTTATCTGATCGAAGGATTCCATCAATTTGTCGCATACCGTCTTCCTGAATAGGGCCACGGAGTCAGCCATTTCAAGGTCGCATGGTACAACTTTGCATAATGTGCATTACCTAAACCTCCCGCTGAATTTATCTTTTCACTCCTCTGCCATTTAGGTTATTTCTGTTTATGTGCTTTATTCCTCTGTATTTACCTCCGTTACTAAAATGCAGGGACTTTCACTTCCATACCAACATAAGTCCTGGCAACTGGATCCACTCCATCTCGGTGTTTGATTCATAGTCTCTTAACCGAACTGTGCTTAAGTGTCACCCAGACCCCTAACATGCCTTAACTCTTTATGCTAGCGTGCTAGTCAGTATTAACGATCATCCGATCTTCCTGCTGTAATCGTGTGCTTATGTTCTTACCATCTTATTCATTTTCATTTGACGGACCACTGGTAGATTGCTCATGTGTCTACCGTGGATTTTATTTTTCGCTCGGTCCTCTCGTCGCTTTCGCATCGATGTTCTTGGCTTTTGTTCCCACCTTCTCTCTCTTCATTTCTAGTGGCCTATACGACACGGAATCATCGAGGATTGGGACTTGATGCAGCGATTTATGGAGCAGGTGATCTACAAGTACTTACGTGCAGAACCGGAAGATCACTACTTTCTGATGGTTAGTCTTTCACCTGGCTGGCCTTACATCAACCTTTTCTCTCTCTCTCTCTCTGTGTACGTGTGTGTACATCATGTTTGCCGGGAACCGGGTCTGCAGTGGTCGCCCACATTGTTCACCTAATGGATCTCATTTGTTCTCACCAGATCAGAAATGATTCAAGGGGACCAACCATTGCTCTACCTGTTCTCGCTTCACGGAAAGGAAACCATGCGACCTTTCCCGTTGGTAGATACTATCTCGAAAATAGTTGTATTGACATCTGTGTTTATATTTATATAATCCTCAGACCGCGTTTTCTATTTATGTTATTTAGTCACTTTTAGTTAGACATTGTCGATGATTAGGCGATTTAACGAAAATAATTTACCGAGGAGTAGTTGTCTTTTCATACGATTCGGAATCTATACTTGATCCAACCGTTTTGTTCTACTAAACCTTCAGTACTGCTATCTTATATCTAACATATGCCCATTACATTTTCTGATGGTTCACCCGATTGTTTTATCAAGCTAACCAGAGCTTCACAAATCCACTATTCCGTTTGTGCTAATTTGTGTTCCGTTGTCAAGCGACCTGCGCATTTTTCCCCACGCAAGTCATCGAATCGGGCTCGTGTTTAATTGCATCGCGGTATCTGTGCATATCGGCTGGTAGATTGCAGTTTTGTTAACTCACCCTCGCATGCTTCGTGTCAAACGGACTTGCTTTTTATTTTCCCTCCCTTTTTACTGCAGACAGAACCTCCTCTGAACACACCGGAGAATCGTGAATACACGGCGGAGATAATGTTTGAGACGTTCAACGTTCCGGGGCTGTACATCGCAGTTCAAGTACGCGCATTCTTCCATTTGTCGTTCAGTGACTGTTGACTACGTTTCGTTCGTTTCCCTTTTTCATTTCCTCCTATGTGCGTTTTTCAGGCTGTGCTCGCATTAGCTGCCTCGTGGTCCTCTCGACCGAAGGGAGAGCACACGTTGACAGGCACAGTGGTCGACTCGGGTGATGGCGTCACCCACGTGATCCCCGTTGTAGACGGATACGTTGTCGGATCTTGCATCAAGCACATCCCCATAGCCGGCCGCGATATCACCACCTTCATACAACATCTCCTTCGGGATCGCGAGACTAACATACCGCCGGAAATGAGTATGGAAATCGCGAAACAAATTAAGGAGCGGTGAGCTACATCGAATTCCGTCGGGCTTCTTGATGAGTTAAATTTGTTCGTAGAAAGTTTGGTATGTGTTTTGCCCTCTCCAAGTGCAAACATTTTTACAGGACAGGCAAGCACCCCTTCCCCAATTCACTATCGAAGGCACACAGCTCAAACACATAGGTAGTTTGGTCTACCTAGGTAGGTGCGTCTCTGCCGACGGCACTGTTGGAGCAGAGGTATCCCTTCGAATCGCTAAAGCCCGGTCAGCGTTTGCCAACTTAAGACAATTGTGACGCCGTCGCGACATTTCCCTCTCACTAAAAGGCAGGGTTTACAAAACCTGTGTACGCGCGGTATTGCTGTACGCATGCGAATCCTGGCCGATCCGTGTGGAAGACATGCGTCGTCTTTCGGCTTTCGACAATAGCTGTTTGCAGAGGATTGTCCGCGTGAGTTGGCAACCCCGGGTGTGTAATGATGGCGTTAGACACCGCGTCTTAGGTAAGGCGGATGTTCCACTTTGTGATGTCGTCCGGCTGCTTCAATTATGGTGGTTCGACCACGTCCTGTGCATGCCTAACGAGCGTTTAACACGCCGCACCTTGTTTGTGTACGCAGGGTTAGTTTGAAAAAGGCTGCGTGGAGGACAACCGTCCATCTGGTATCAATGCATAAATCAATGACATCTTGCCTGGCCATCGCTGGCCGCGTTCGACTCCCAGGATGGGGACCCAAAGATTAAGAATGCCAATGGCTCACAACGCTGGAAGCAGTTGGGATGTGTACACGTCTCCAGGCGACATGCTTTCATGTAAACTAGTCCCTTTGAAATGTATCACCCGCACCTCTATATCTTTTCTAACCGTGTGCTGGTGTGGTTTTAAAGCAGGTTAGCTATTACCATTCCTACTTATTATTAGTGCTTTTTTAAAGTTGGGCTAAACTAACTTACACTTAAACTAGGTCTTTTTATGCTGGATTCATTTCATTCCACTTTATTTAGTTTGTTCTACCTACCTGAATAATATTCTATTAACTGGCCACGTTGCTTACAATAATTGTGGTTATCCTCGTTAACTTTACTGCGTCTGTCGCACTTTTTGGATAACTTGTGGACATTTTACTCTTATCGTGGAGTCATTGTCAACCAACTTACTTCATGTGCTAATTTAGCGAAGAGTTATGTCGGCATAGCCGTATGCTTTAACATATATTTCATTTGATAATGTCATTTCAAGTGATTGGCTGTTGTTGGACATCCTCGATGTGGCTGCGCTTGATGTGCATGTTGACAAAGTGCCTACCTGTCTTTTACCCAATACCACGTCCATATTGGTTCCAGGAGATAGTTGATCATTGCCCGTGTTAGGATCAAAGTGTGGTTTCATGCACTCATTGTGGAGCCGACTAGGGTCCAGCCACCGCCTTGTGTGCGCTTGGTTCCCCAAATACAGCGTGCTTGTGTTTGCCTGTGAAGGAGTGTGGGCCGGCTCCGTTGATGAAACGTAGCTCCCATCCACATGTTTCCTGGCCTTATTCCTTCGGGTTTACACTGGATATGGGGTGTTTGGTTTGGAGCTGTTGGTGGTGCAGCGCAAGGCACCCATGGTTCCTTTGTAGGCGCAGGCGTCCTGTGGCTGGCCAGAGGGACAGGCAAATGCGAAATCGGATGCCGCCAACCATATGTACTAGGACGGAGTTAACGTTCAGGCTTCCTTTCTTGGTTGGACCCAGGAGTTTTACGTGTTACTCGAGCCCCATACGTATCGGTGGCTTACATTAATAGTTTATCACCACAGTAGAGTATACAGCCACATCTGGCAACGGTTGAGTAATTGGATCTTATGCAAGCTACTTCTAGTAAATTAGCTAAAACAGTTTGCGCACTTTTCGAAAGCCGAATGTAGGACAGGACGCTGCGGGATTTACTAGATGTATTATTCCTGTGATCGTGTGAAAGTGGTTATTTAGATTATTGGTGGTTTTGTGACTAGTGTAATTTTTGTAGAAAGTAGAGGCCACGATTAAACTTTGCACCTTCTGGTGCATGTGGTAAACGGCATCCGCAGCACACACTACCGATAGGGCATCACTGTTTTACTGTTACTCTTATTTGTGCATCATTCCACCTGGTAACCGTATTGATAGCATTTGCTTCCCTATTCCTATATCTGTCTCTATCTATTGTTGATGCCCACACTTCTGACTAAATTTATGGCTGCCATTTAGGTTCACGTTTAAACGTTAACTAACCACCGACAGTCGTATTGGTTGCTTATAATTGTACGTGCGATCTTCCAACACTAGAGGAATATGGCTGTTATTCTTACATTCAATCCATACTCATGCACGTTCGTAGTGTTATTGCTCATGAGGGTTATTGTTTCTCCATCCAGTTTGTGGTAGTCCATACACAAGTGTGAACAAATGCCCGCTCGCAACACTGCAGTACTGCAACTCGAACCAGGGACCTTTGGTATGTCAACTGATATCTCATGTTGAATAACTAAGTGGAAGCCATTTAGAAACACTTGTAAGCGCCACACTTCAGCCTGACAGACTGATGGCATTTTCACTCGCGTGACACCATTATCTGCTGGCTCGATGTCTAACTGGGGCTCGCCCAAATTACAAGTCGCGCTAACATCTGTTCGTGTCTCGCTACGTTCTCACTTGACAGATGGATCTTATTACATTTCTTCTCGTGTGACACTGTGACTTATTGCGGGTTGCAATATGAGGTCAATGTATCCCATCTCAAGTGCCTCTATACGCCCCCTTGTACTGCTGCCGCCTTCAGGTAAACGCATTGAGATTCAGACAAGTCATCAAGGTTGATTCCGGAACAGCGTCAACACCATGTGACATCCAAATCGAAATGCTTGGGCACAGGTAGCATTCTAGGCACTGATGAATTGGTCGAGATATGCTAGCGGTCCGAACGAATGACCAGGGGGAAATAAATAGTAACACACGACGGACTGCCTGGTGGTTTCACATACCTGTTGATTCTCGCTCACCTCGGACAAGAGACGATCGGACCGGCTCTGGTTTACCTTCCGACACGGATAGCCTGCAGTTAATATAGGAGACGGCATTCACAGCACACACCAACGATAAGTCATCACTGTTCCACTGTGCTTCTACTTCTTCGTTAAAGTGAGCATAGCTATAATTCCCGTTCTTTCACCGCGGACTTTAACTTAGCTGAGCTTATAAAAATCAGTGGACTTAATCGCACCATTTCCCTGCTAACTTGTAAAGTTGCTTACTCCATCTCCGTCATCTTCTTTGTGTCATCCTTATTCTATCGCTCATGTAAGTCGCGCTTGGGTACAGTTTCACTCTAGAATGATTAACCACTGACTTGGTGCAATGTAGTATATTTATTGCACCTGCCTAGAACGGATGAGTCACATCTAACCTACCTTTATAGGGCTTACCTAACTCGGTTGTATTTCGCGGTTATTTCACGTGTTGCCCACTACACTGTTGTACTCATCATGACCTATGATATTCTTGCTACCTTCTCAAGTGGAGTCTAGTACGGTGACATACCGAGACGGTGAGCTACGGCATCTTCCTCTTCGTATTATTATTCGGCCGCGATTCACATCACTATGTAAGCTCCATGGTATTACTCACCAGACTATGCTACCTACATTCTGCTCCTTGAAATCGATTTGTAGATTACATGACCCTAGCTTGACCAGCTGCCCAATGCTAACTAGCACGACGCTTAGAGAGCCGATGCATCGCCGGATAAAGGTTCAGTCCATCCATGAGCTCATTCGTATTTGACGTGCGCGCGGAGTTTCCGAGCGAACTGTGTTGTTGATACGGATCACTGCTAGGGTGGCAAATTATTGACTATGTTCCCAGTTCGCTACATACATGTGAATTCAAAGGTTACCAGCGCTTGACCGACTACAGCACGCGTAAAATGTAAAGTTTGACATCTGGAGCCCAACGCTCAACGTTTCTCCCTCGTGTGACCACGTTTGGACAAACGCATACCAATATATTGTCTTCGAACTGCCATTGGACACGGATGACGCCAATCCATGTATATATGTATACCGAATGAATTCGACGCGGATACTCATACCGCTTTTGTACGGCCAACTTAATGCAGGGATATGGTACTGGGACAAACCCAAAATAACATTATCAGGACATAAAGAAGGTGAGTTATGACTAATTACTGTTGATTTCAGGCCTTGCGAATCCAAGGCAAAGTTGTTCGATGCGAATTTCGTGGACTGATCAAAAGGGTGGTTGCCCAGGTGCAGGAGTGGTCACTATTGCACGCAGAATAGAACCACGATGCGTACACTCCCATTCGGTTTACTAATCCAGGTCAATGGGGCGGCGTATATGGTACCTTTGCCTGCGTGATGAATATTCTTGCCTTTCAGAAGTAGATGTTTGAGATCCCCGGTATGGCTGCGCCTAATGTGAATGTTGACAATGTAACTACTTGATGATTTGCGATGAACCAACTCGAATGTAACTACTTGTCTAATACCCTACACCTCGATTGTCGGCTCCAGGAGGCAGTTGATCGTTGCTGGTGGGGGCGGGGTGCACCGTCATCGTGACAGTACTATGTTCAAAGAGTGGTTCCATGTAACCTGTGTGTAACGGCCTACGGTCCAGCCACCGCCTTGTGTACGTCTGGTGTGCATGATTGCCCAATTAGGCCGGAATGCTTCTGTTCTGCTTGTTGAAGGAGTGCGGGCCAGCTCAGTTGGTGAAACGTGGCTTCCATCCACATGCCTTCCGGTCTTATTCCTTCGGATTTACACCGGATACTGGGTGTGTGGGTTGAACTGTGGGTTGTGCAGCGCAAGCCATCCATCGTCCCTCTGTAGGCGTGGGCGTCTTGTGATTGTCCCCATGGAGGCCACAATGCCCGGCAAATTCGGGTACGGATGCCGCTAATCCATATTGGCAACAGTCTATAACATAGACATGGAGCCATACAAAATCATGGAATTTGGAATAGAGAATAACAAAATGTAC